ATGACACACCATCTACCCAGATGAGTTTGTGGATTCATAGGAGGAATTCATGAAGTTGAAACCGGAGAGCAAGCACCCATATTATGAGGACTTCTACGAGAGAGAGCTCAAGGACAGCAAGGTCAAGCCATAGTGGAGACTTATCCACCAAGTGATATCTAGATTTGTGAGTGGTAAGTATGTGAGCAAGGACAACCTAACAGTAAGAGACACCCATTTCTTCTGGAGCATGCACAACCACAGCTCAATTCACCTTGGACTCTCCATTCTCCCGTCCCTCAACCGCTACAAGACAGACACCCAACTAGTAAAACTTCATGGGGGAGACCTCAACATGTGCGTCTCTAGATACCTGCAGATCAATATGGATGCAACAGAGAGCATACTAGACATCAATACGATGCCAACGTTTTTTTTTTATAACCTTAAGACATATCTGATGACACTATATACGAACGAGCAAGGTATTGGGGGAGTGAAAGGCTTGTCCTTCCCAACACCAACACTATGCTGATCGGTGGAGTGGAGTACAGACTTCATCTCTCTAGTCCGTGATGTGGAAACATAGCTACTCCAGTCAAGTACGAGGAATCCAAGGATGAGGATGGAGCTCTAAATGTCTTCTAGAGTCACCAAGGCTACCAGCATATTGCCTCCAACTCTTCGGGATTTGTGGATTAGTATGCTAGAGAGCAATATGCAGTGATCTTGAGGAACCCTTTTGACCAACCAACTCACCACATATGGTAACGATTATGAACCCTACCCAAAACTCACACATTGAGGACAATGTGTCCCTTGAGTCTGGGGGTGTGCGTTTCATGCTTAGTTTGTTCATGATTAATGCCGAATCGACGATTACTTTCCTACGTGCTGAACTTGGAAGTTCTTTTTTATGATGTGTGGGAGTGTAATTGATCGATTGAATGGTGAGTGTATGGTTGATTGACATATTATTAACTTACTCGGAACCTTGTATGATGCTCCATTTTTTTTTTTTTTTGAATTTTGAGGGTTACAAGTAAGCCCCATAACTCAATGCATGACTACTTGATTCGAATTGATGGATCTATACTTCTCCTACTCGATCAATGTCGAGGAATGTAGTACATGATATGTCTTAGGAGAAAGTCTGATTGTTTGATTCTTATAGGTGTCCTGTCTTAGATGTTTGAGTAGGTTGGTTGAGAAATCTTGATTTGATAAGATCAATAGATTGCTTGAGTAGAAATCTTGATTCCATGTGTAGGTTGGTTGAGAGTTTCTTTGTACTATGCTTTCTACCAACTCATGTTTTGAACAAAATAAAGAGGGTTGTAGCTCGTTCTTACACGGTCTACAAGTGAGGCACCGATAAGATTTTTTTTATCAAATATCTTTAGTGGTAGTAACGCAAACGCGTACTTCTGATCGGTCTCAATTAGAGGGTGATTCACATGGGAACCCAACTTAGTTTTTCCTAGCTACCATTTGAAGGTCGGTCATCCTCTTGTCATGACCCTTCCACACGAGGTCGGGGTATAGTAATTCGAGCCATTCTAACATATTTTGGCCCATTTCACTTTGTCGTTTGACTGGTATAACATCATCCTTTGAGCCTTTTTTATGTTAGGTTTTGCAATGTTTTAGTATGTCTCGAGACATAGCAGGTGAAATGGGCGAAAGAATCGAAAGTCAGACAAAAGGAAACAAAAGCGGAACAAAGTGCTGGAAATTGAATGGATCACGGTTCAGAGGAGATTGTCACAGACATGAGACCATGAAGATTAAAACAAAGCCATGGAGATTGCAAAGTTATAGGATATTTCGGATGTCTCACGAGCAGTGCAAGGATCACGGGCCGAGGGCATGAAGTCTGTAACAAAATCATGAAGTGTGTAAGTGAATTTGTACGTATTCGCTAAAATCAAGATTTTGCTGCACACATCACGGGCGTGAAGATCAGCAATGAAACGCTTGCTGTCAGGTATAAAAGGAGGAGATCATATTTTTTACAAGTTTTAGGGATAATGAGAATCAAGTTTCCATGGGTTTTCCCTCATTTCTAGTTGTTATTCTTTCTCTACTAATGGAGTAGTTTCTATTTTTACTTGGATGATGTGAACTCTAGTCTAGGATGTTGTAGATTGATGATTGTGACCTCCATGTAGTGATGGGCATTGTTTAATTATATATTGCTTTTCGTTGAGTGTCATTGATAAATTCCCTCAATTTTGGGGGAAATTAACCTATGAGAGAGAAGATCTCCTTATGGCAATTTGAGTCACTATTCAATCATCGTAGAGAGCCATAAAAGAGGGTGTTTTGGTTTCTTTACGTTGTTCCAGGTCATTGCCCGAGGGAGTGGATTTGGTGTGGCCATTCACTCAATGACCTTTGTTTATGGACTGGTAGAACCTGTTTAGAGGAGGTAGAATCTAACCCTAGTCCAGAAATTCGGCTGAGGTGACAATGGGCAAGAGGACTTGTCTTGGAGGGGGATCAATGGCTTGACCAATGCACCATTTCCCACCTAAGTGACCTCTGCACCTCAAACACCATAGCACTCAATTGAACCCCTAGCACACCACTAGAAGGATTCGATCCTAGAAAACCATCTCATCTCTAGAATCCTCCCATTCACTTGGTTGGTCGTTTAGTTATTTAGGTTCGGTTAGTTCTTAATCGAATCTTTCTATTTGACTAGATATCAAGTCGAAGTGAAGTAATAGTAAGCCTAGGTACCCTTGGAATACGAACTTGGTCACCGCTATATTTGTAAAATATAGGAATTGCGGAAGTAAAAAAGACAGAGATTTATGTGGTATCCCCGATAAATGGGACTAATCCACGGAGAGCAGAGCTCTCAGATAGGCTTTCACTATGACTGGCCGAATAAAAATCAACTTCATTAGGTTACAATGGTTGCCTAGATTCACCATTTATAAACCCCCCATAGATTAACCTAGGGTAATTAGGAAATCCCTAACACAATTAGCAAAAGGTACTAGAAGAACGAAAAAAATGACTAGTTTTACACTTCAAAACTCCCCCTCAAGCTGAGGCATGAAGGTCACAAATGCCCAACTTGGACAACAGAGAATGAAAAGGATCTGCGCCCAACGCCTTGGTGAAGATATCCGCCAACTGAGAAGAAGAGGAAATCTTTAGAGGATCAATCTCGCTAGTGACGATGCGCTCACGAACAAATTGATAATCCATTTCCACATGATTAATGCGCTCATGAAAGACCGGGTTAGCACCAATGTGGAGGGAAGCCTGATTGTCACAGTAGATAGGCATGTGCGTAGACCGAGGGATGCCGAGCTCGGTGAGAATGAACCGAAGCCAAATGACTTCACTCACAACACTAGCCATGGCACGATATTCCGCCTCACCAGAGGAACGAACAACAATGAGTTGCTTCTTTGTGCGCCAAAAGACAGGAGCAGAACTCAACTGAACAAAGTAACCAGTCGTCGACCGACGCGAGATTTGGAAACCACGCCAATCTGCATCACAATATGCCATCAATGTCAGAGGACTATAAGAAGGAAAGAAGAGGCCCTGACCTGGGAAAGTCTTGTGATAGCGAAGCACGCACTGAGCAACATCAACGTGCGCAGGCCATGGGAAAGAACGAACTAGCTCAAGATGTTAACACCATAAGTAATGTCGGGATGAGTGATAGTGAGGTATAAAATTCGGCCAACCAAGTGGCGATAAAAGCTCACATTAACAAGCTCATCAATATCGGAACTGGGATGAGTGAGGGTGTGATTCTGTTCCATGGGGAACAGGCTAGGACGGGCAGCAGCAATCCCAACATCATGAAGTATGTCGAGTGTGTACTTACGCTGATTAAGGACGATACCCATCAGTGACCGAGAAACCTCAATGCCCAGGAAATACTTGAGAGGACCAAGAACGTTAATGCTGAACCTGTCATGGAGAAACGAATTGATGCGAGAGATAAAACTAGCATCATTGCCAGTAAGAACAACATCGTCCACATAAATAAGATCTGCGACGAGCGAGTCACCTTGACGATATAAGAGTAAGGAGGGATCAACATGGGAGTGAACAAAACCGAATTCACCAAGCACTAGGGTGAACTTGTTGTACCAATTTATGGAGTCTTGACGCAGGCTATATAGGGATTTTCTCAAACAACAAACTCGAGTATCACCTTTCTCAGCGAAGCCAAGAGGAACCTTCATCTAAACCCCTTCCTCAATATCCCCATGGAGGAAGGCATTGTGGACAAGGGCCAAGAGGTGGGGACGAAACCTGGTCCGGTGAGGGTGGAGGTGTGGGTTTGGAGGAATCACCATTAGGGCCTGCATCGGTTTCATCCTCGTCAACAGAAGGAGAGCCATGCACGCCATTCAAAGGAGTGGGAGGAGGATCCCAAACATCGAAGCTAGCATGAATATCTTCGGTAGTGCGCATCCTAGCATCCACCAAAGGGTCTAGCTCCCCCACAAATAGAGCCGGCATAGGAGAAGGGATAGGTGGCACCCCTAGCGCAGAAATAGACTACTGAAAATGGAAAAAAAATTTCAACAAAATGGGCATCTGTTGAGGTGTAAATCCAGCGAGAAGAAAGATCATAGACTTGGTAACCCTTCTGGGAGTGGGGATAACCAACAAAGAGACCATGCCTACCACGCTCGACAAATTTATCCAGTCTTGAGTGAGTATGCTTGGCATAAACCAAATAGCCGAAAGCCCAAAGATGAGTGTAGGTAGGAGGACGAGCCAGTAAGACCTCGAATGTAGTCTTATTGTCCAAAACAGAGGATGGAAGCTGATTAATAAAGTAATTGGCAGTCGAGGCACATTCTCCCCAAAACTAAACCAGAAGCCTTGCATGAAACCGAAGTGCCCGGGCAGTGTCGAGAAGATGACGTTGCTTTCGTTCAACAACTCTGTTCTGCTGGGGGTGTTGACACAAGAGATCTAAAGAATAACTCCATGGGCGGGATAGTAGTCTCGAAGAGTATTAGTCTGAAATTCCATCCCATTGTGAGCCTATATTCGCCGCACCTGTCGCTTGAACTGAGTGATGGTCATCTAACAAAAGGAACAAAGATACTGCTCGACATCGAATTTATATTTAGGCAGATAAATCCAAATAGCTCTTCTGAAGTCATCAACGATAGTCAAGAAAAAACGAGAACCATCCAAAGAAGGGGTCTGATAGCCACCCCAAATACCCACATGAATTAACTCGAAACAATCATGAGTTGTGCTAGAACTGGAAGGATAAATAGTACACGTCTGTTTGGCAACAAGAGTCACAATGCGGCTAACCAAATGAAAAGACTGAATTCCCAAAACATCATGCAAACGAGAATGCTTCTCAAAAGAAGGATGCCCTAAACGATGATTCCATAGATTTACCACTTCATGACTAGCTGCGAACGCCGTTACATCACGACCAGGACAACCAACGCCCACACCTCCCCGCTGCAAATTATAGAGGCCATCACGAAGGCGACCCAGTCCAATCACGGTCTTGGAATGTGAGTCCTGCAGAAGGCAAAAATCAGCCACGAAGAGTAAGGCAATATCATGGTCTTGTGTAAGGAAACTAACAGATAGAAGGTTTCATTTGAAATCACGAACATGAAGGACACGACATAATGTGAGACGATCATTCAACACCACAGAACCGAAGTCCTTAACAGGAATACACCGACCATTAGGAATCCGAAATGAAGAGTAAGTGCCACTACTATCTAACCCATCAAGCTAACTAGCATCCCTAATAATGTGTTCATTGCAGCCTGAGTCAATAAGCCATTCATAAGGATCAGTACTATTGATGACTCGATATTTGCATATGTGTTTCCCTTTGTTTCTTGATCGTTCAATCTTGCATTATCGCTTCTTTGGCTTATTTTACCCTAGGTTGTGTTCCTTTGTCACATTTCAGGTCCTAGCATATAAAGTGAAGCATAGGTGCAAGTTTCAAGACAAACGGAGATCAATTGGCGACTCGGGGGAAGAAACTCGGGCATGAATTGAAGAAGAATGGATTTATACCTCACTTTGTGACCAAATAATCATGTAAGCTTGTCATGAGAAGAAATAGGACGAGACTACGAGTGTCTGGGATCAAACGGCACCTGATTTGGAGTCTGAACGAGGGAGAAACGAAGAATCAAAGACAGCGGACCCGAAACTGTGAAATATCCGGGTATTTTGAACATCTGATAGGGTATTTTTGGCAGCATTAGAAGGCCCCCCGGTCGTGAACCGTACCCGACTGTGTATTTTCCCTTTTGCCCAGAAAATGAACCGGAGCATTTTGTTGATACCCGACCGGTTCCCTTAATACCCAACTAGGTATTTGGACCGGGTTTCGCGATCGCAGGATGTTAAAAGCCTGTTTTGTGTGTTTTGGAGGGGGGGAGCTGAGTTTTGGTTCCCAAACACCCAAGGGACGAACCAAAGAGAGAGAGAGAGGGCGATTTGAGGGCAATCTTGGAGTGGAATTGGAGGATTTCTTTGCCTTGGAAGCTCGAGAAACAAGTCCGGACGTGGAGACTGATCATCTGAAGATTCTTATTGCAGTCTCTCTCTTCTCTATGGAGTAACTTCCCTTCACTTAGGTTTTGAGGGACCTAGCATGTTTGTTTGATTGGATGATTGTATGAGTACACTTACTTGATAATCTTGAGTTCATATTCAATCTATGCATGTTTTCATGATTTAATTATGCTTTAGTCGAGATTATTGATTATGCTTTGATCCTATGAGAGCGAATACCTGATTAGGTCAATAGAGCACCATAGATTGATAGTATTGGATCGATTGCTTTAGTCGAGGGTCGATTCACTGCTTTGTATCGATTGAGAATCTCATTCGATAGATGGAATCTAGTTTAGAACACCTTGATCGGTTGTTCTAGAGAAGGATACGTCCCTCTAGGCTATTGAATCAAGAGGGCCTTGTTCCTTTAGTCGAGACTCAAGGTATAGTTAAGGATTCTCCGCATTGTGAATGAAAGTGAAACAGGTTAGAGATCATCAATCATTAATCTGGCTAGTGGCTAGGGGGAATCATACCTAAGTGAGTTTCCCAACATGTAATTAGATTAACTTTAACTGTAGTTTGCTAGAGTAGTTTTAGTTGTTCTATCTAAATCTGGTTGCTAGATAATGAACTGAAGCTGAGTAATAGTAAGTCTAGAGACCCGTGGATTCGATATTTATTACTTGAGCCACTATACTGCAGTCCCTTTCATTGGTTACACTTGGCCTTTGTTAGGAGTTGTGTCATAGCGAGTCAACTATTACCCGCCATATGTTCAGTAGGGTCCGGAGCAGGCGAAGGTGAGCTTAAAAATAGCTTCAAACTAGCGAATTGAGCCCCGGTCAATCTCAGAATAGGACTCTCTTCCCCGACGACATGAGCTGCCCGCGGCGCCGCCTCATTCTGTCTCATTCTGATGTTTGAAATATTTTATGTATGATTTAGAGGTATACTTATTATTTGTGACATCAGTAGTAGTTGGTTTAAATGTAGTATTTTATTAGGTAGTCAAAATCAAATACTAGATGCATTTATGACTGTTATTTATCTCGGTGTTGTGAATAGGTAGAAACTTAATTATTAGAATGCATATACCTATACCCAGGCACATGATCGAGCTAGCATAACACAGTTAGAGCATACCATGAAGACAATGTATATGGATCGACCCTGTACAAGCATTAATACCTCATGTTTTATGGAGAAATACTTCATTTGATAAAAATAAAATATTATATTATATGAATAACATATAAAATTTGAATTAATGAGTAGTTTTTCACATCAACGTGTGACGACTCAGATTCTAAAAGGTCTATAAAATACATTAATTGTTTATTTTGAGACTAAAACCTTTTTCAATGTATACAACTAAACACTCATTTATAAAATAATTTTTGATTAGCTTCATAGCTGAAAAGTCTTTTTTACAACTTACAATAATAACAAACAACGTCAACAATAACTTTAGAAGCATGTAAAGTGAAGAAGAAATTGAAACTTTTTTTTTTTTGCAAATGTCTGCGTGTGTTTGGGGATGGGGGAGACTTTTTTGTCTAAAATTTTTTAGGAAGGGTTGAAACTCATATATCATTTGTTTGAATATTGCATATTGAATTTGAGTATTGAACATTTAAAGCGATATATAATTCTTAAATTAGTATTAATTTTCAGTCCAGTTGACCAATAGCCTTAGACCTTTTGCTCATATCATATAGATCCAATAATCATAAGATGAGATTTAGTTTGATATGAAGATTCAAAATCATTTTTTATGTATAATGAATTTGTATGAAAAATATATGTAAATAAGTGAAGATGAACCTGATTGTGTATTTTAATTCTATAGATAAATAAAATGGTTTAAGCGATGAACTAACTATACACTCACTCGATTGGTTTAACAAGTTCTCTTTTATCACTTTTAGTAATTGTAACACCCTAACCCGGCTGAGTACTACTTTTACTAAAATGCCCTTGATAAATAAAATACTCAAATCTTAAATTGCAGCGGGAAAATTTTTCATAAATAAAATACTGAAAACACCCACTTGTAGTTCAGAACAAAGCCCTAACACGTGGGTAAATTAAACTCAAACTTTAAATCTCAATATGTTCTCCAGTCTATACTCATAATCATAAAATGTAAATAACTAGGTAGTCTCGGTCGATGCTGCTACTGAAAATCTTAACTAGGCATCCTCCGTGATGCTTGCACTGCTCTCCTCTAGCTGGTTTCTCTAGAACTTTTCCTCTCGAACTCGCTGCTTTCTAACTGCTCCTATAGCTAGCTGCTACCGATCTGGTTCTCGCTCATTCCCTTACTAAGGCCTGGTAAGTAAGTTGGGGTCAGTCTACGCCCTTACGTTTTAATACTTCTAATACTTGAAGCACTTTACTTAAACACTTAACTTTAACTAGTGGAAGTTGTTTGTACTTCCAATCTTAAAATCTTAACTCTTAAACTTTGAGGGAGTTGAAGTTACTCTCCTCTCTTAAAGCTCAAATCTTGACTTAAATACTTGACTGACACGGGGATCCCTCACTAACTAGTCCGGTTGCCAACTCATACGTATGAGAAGCCATCCAGGCTTTCCTTAAACTTAAACTTAGTTAGGGAAGTCGTAACGATTCATCCCCCTAACATCTTAAACTTATCGTGGTGGCTCTTCACCATGATTCTCAAGAGCATAACTGCTGCTCATCTTAAAAATCTCAAGAGCATAACTGCTGCTCTATCTCAAAATGTCTCAAATGGCAACGGAATGGCGCTAGTGACTAAAAACACTTAAAACGACTTCACCTTCTTGAAGGTGAGTTACTTCTTTAAAAGAACTTGTTTCTTACTCTTTAATAATAACTCCTAAATGTAAAGCTTTAAAGTAAATAACAACTCCTACATATACACTCCCAACATAGCTCAAACAAAGCACATATCACCAATCATAAACACAATCATGCAATAACAATCACTTCATCAAATACTTAAAGCTCGTCAAACTTGAAAGAATACGTAAGGCTTAGAATTTACCCTCTTTACACTCACCTGACTATAAAGCTAGAATCCATCTGCTTCATGAACTAGGTACTCCAAAAGATGTCATGGAACAACTTAGCATTTAATCGACGATGCTCCCCAATCAACTCCATTCGTCTCGGCCGCCAAAAATCAACCACAACAAATCCCCTAAGCCATGTTAAAGCACCTCCATATTTACTTAACCATTTCACTTGATATCCCTCTATGAAGTAACCAAATGCGAGTAGTGTAGGTAACTTATGCCCCAACCATCAAAATGAGAAAAAAGAGCATTTGCACATTATCTCACCTTCAAGCGAGTAAATTCCTCATGAATTGCTGGATCTAGTAGCAATCTCCTTGCCTGCATTGATGGTGGCTTCAGTTGTGCTCTCAAGTCCCGAACTGCAGACTAAAATTCTGCTATCTCCTGCTCTCGTTTGGCAAATGTAACAATGAAGGATGCTTCCTTTTTCTTTGCTTTCTCAAGCTGTTACTCCAATGTCTCCTCCGATGATTTCAGAGTCTGAAGATAATTGATGACTAGTTTAGGTTCGGGAGATGCCCCTGAGGGTATGAAAGACGAATTCTCAAATGCAGAATGCCACTTTTGAATCTCCAACTTTTCCGCTTCAAGCTCCGCTTGGCATGTCGCAAGATCGTTCCTGCAGGTATCAAGGCTCTCACGAAGAGACAAAATCATTGTGGTTTCTTCCACCTTCGAATTACCCTTCTTCGAACTAAAGAGATCGTCCTCATCGTCCTCAAGATCCCCAAAGCTTCTCTTATTACCCGAACGCCTTCCGTTGTGGGTTCCACTGAAATCGCCGCCGAAGTCATCGTCATCGTCGAGATGGTTGCGAGAAGCCATTCCGCAATGGGGTAGCTTGATTAATTCTGAACAGGATGCTGCTCCCACCCATGCCCAGGACTTTGACAATTATATTCTGCGGCTCCTTATCCATTACTCGGGACTCTCTGCTCGTTCTCATGGAAGAATTGGACTCCATCGCCGGCTGCGAAATCGTGCAAAAGAGTAGAGACAGCCCTTAGATGCTTTAGCCCTTTTAAGTACTGCTGTGTTGATCCGAGTGGAACGAGAGATTAGGGTTGGGGTTGGGTTTTAATTAACTCGAGGGGTATTTTGGGCATTTCCTAAATTACGGGTGAGTTTAATCCGAAACTCAACTAAAGTTCGTAACTTTCTCATTTTATGTCGAAATTCGACACTGCTTGAACCGATAGTTCACATTTTAAGTCCTCCTCGACACTACGGTGAAACTTGACCCAAGTATATAATAGTCATTTTGACTTTTGGGAAGAGAGGGGTGTAACAGTAATTAGTTTATTCACAAGCTATCAAACTACTTTGCTCAGTCAAGGAATAAGCGGCCATTTGTTCAACAGGTTTCAGGTGCTTTGATTCAATCGACAGTGAATGGAGAAGAAGCATTTAGAACTCAAAATTGGAGTAGTAATTGGGATGTTTCTAGATTTCTGTCGGTTATGGGAAGAAAGAGGAAGGGAAAGGGGGAGAGTGGTGAGATACAAAGCTCACAGAGAGATGGAAGAACAAACGGAAAAACAAAGAGGAAGGCTAAGAGAGAGTGAGAGACCACACTTAAAGGGGGGGGGGGGGGGGGGGGGGGGGGGGGGGAATGAGATAGTACCCTTTGGTTTTGCTTAGTGGGTATTCTTGGCCCTCTTCTTTTGAGTTTTGATTTATGTTAGAAGAAGACATTATATTTGATAGATTTTTTCATTTCAATTTCAATTTAAAATCCTAAATGAATATTATCACTTGGATGATTTTTTCCTTAATACGATTATGCTAATTTCTTAGGTTTAAGGGGTATTTGATATGTCAATATTTTAGTGGTTTTTTATTTAAAGTTTGAATTGAAAGATCGTACATACCGGCGGTTCGACAATAAAACATCAGACTATAGGCTAAATCGATGGGTGAAATTTAGCAATATGAAACCGTTGAACCATTGCTAAATTATGACTTCAGTATAAAATACTCTACTACCAAATTTTTGGAGACAATTTTACAATCCTTTGGTTCCAACAATTCTTTTACACTGGTGCAAACAAAAAATTTAATACGATGCGATCTCATTCAACCCAAAAGACACTTTACAACTTCTATATTTTTAAAATAATGTATGCTTCTCTTACACCTGCTCATTCATCAACTTAATGAGTAACATATATTTCATGTAATATGAATTTTATAGGTTTTTATTTATTGAATTATTTCATGAAAAAATTATTTGCTGCATGAAAATTACTACATTGTTGCTAAACATGTCAGCGATATGAGAATAATTTGGTAAGTCCATACACAACACATTGTCCAGCTAACTATTAGCGACAAGTTAGCATCATGTCCTATATATTTCAAAACAAGCAATTTCAGATTCATTACCAATTGTGTGGTAAAAAAATGCTCTATATTGGGAAAAACTTAAAGGACATACTAAAATCTATGAGAGACATTTTGTTTCATCCTAAAGGTTGATTATGTATGTATTATGAGAAACAACTCTAATATTCAACTATATGGTTTAATTAAACAATAAATGACAATTATTTATGTTTATTTCTTTTTTCCATTCAATAATTATATGTAATGCTTATATTATATATTTTTCTCTTTTTTCATGGAGGTCTAAACATATTATGCCTAGTTGGATCACTTTCAAAAATGTTATGTGCATAACTAAGGTAGAAAACAATCATTTCATGCACTTCAAATCATCTATTATATCCATTATTATATATCACATTACTCGATGAAATTCTTTCTGCCAACGAGCCGGGTCCTGTACTAGTATACAAAGATGGAAGAACATATTCTAACAAAAAAAAGAAGAACATGTAAGTAGCAGAAGACATGTGACTCGCTAAAAAACAACACCTAACAATGGCCAAGTGTAACCAATGAAAGGGACTGCAGTATAGTGGCACAAGTAATAAATATCGAATCCACGGGTCTCTAGAGTTACTATTACTCAGCTTCAGTTCATTATCTAGCAAACTAGATTAAGGATTGATTAACTAAACTACTCTACTAACTAAACTAAGTAAAACTACTAATTACAGTTTGGGAAATCACTTAGGTATGATTCCCCCTAGCTCCTCAATTAGGTCCAAGTTGTAATTCCTTTTGGTTGTTTTACTGCTGATTAAACTGCGGAAGATCCGACAGTAGCTTGGAATCTCTTAAGCTGACCAAGCCCTCTCAGTCTAACTACCCGGCAGACGACTAGTCTTCACCGGGATAGAAAGCTGAAGCAGTAAGAACAGAACTCCACTACTGGAATTGGATTCCAGTACAAAGCAGTAAACTGGCTAACTCTCGTATAGCCAATCTCCTACTACCGAATGATGAGACTCTAGCAACCCAATCAGATTCTATCTATCTCTGATTGCAGCAGGAATCAGGAAAAGTTGATCAGACTTCAATTGACTCAATAAACATGCATCATTCGATTAAAATCAAACAATATAGCATCCAAAACATCACACAAGAAAGATCCTAACTCATGGAACTAGGGTTCCTCAAAACCTAAGTGAAGGGAAGTTACTCCATAGAGAAGAGAGAGACTGCAGAAATCTGATCTAGATCTTCAATCTCCATCTCCAAGCTTGATTCCCGAGCTCCAATGGCGAAGAAATCCTCCAAAATAGCTCCAAGAATGTTCCCAAGTCGCTCTCTCTCTAGGGTTCGTCCCTTGGGTGTTTGGGAACCAAAAACCCAGCTCTCCCTCTCCTTTGGCTCGAAATTTGGCTTAAAACCAGAGATTCCCGACTCACACGGGCAGGCCCACACGGCCGTGTGGCATACCCAGTTGCCCGTGTGAGTCAAAACGCTCCGTTCCAATTAGTTCGATCTTCAGGCTTCTCACACGGCCAGGGTCGCACGGCCGTGTGGGATTTCCATCTGCCCGTGTTTGCTCTCGGCGAAACTCGCACGGCCACACCACTCCTTCACACGGCCGGTGAAAATCACGGCAAGCCGTGTTTGCTCTCGCACAATCTCATACGGCCAAAGTGGTCACTTGCACGGCCGTGTGAGTTGTGGGTGTGCCCGTGTGGCTTCCTTTTTGCCTTGTCTCGCGCCCGATCTTCGTCCAATCGATCCCAAACTCGCTCCCAAGCCTCCATTCACGTACTAGGACCTGAAATATCACAAACAAGCACAACCTAGCGTGAAATCGGCCTAAAACACGAGAAATCACATCTCAAACGGTGTAAGAACAGGGGTAAAAACATGTGTAATTAACGGTCTATCAAACTCCCCCACACTTAACCGTTTGCTTGTCCCCAAGCAAACCAAGTCAGACACAAGGTAAGCTTACATATTTCCAATCAACGAACATTGGGGACAAGTCATAAAGGCACAGAACACGTGAATCGTACTGGTTTTCAAGCATCAATACATGACCAACTTCAACAGCAACCTGGACAACCACCACAAAGGACATTCGAGTGCAGCAAAATCGAGTAAAGGAAGAGTCTCCCTTCTGTTCACCAACCAACCTAGACTTGACTCAACCACTTACTCAAAACAGTCAACTCATGCATCCAACTCAAGACATCAGAATAGAGACCGAGCAATCTAGGTCCTCACCGGGGTACAAGAGTATATAGAATATGAAAATGAATCACTCACTCTCGACCAGTGGGGTCAGGACAATTTGATGCGAAAAATGCGCAAGTTATTTCTCTCAATCCCTAACATCTCTTCACCATGATGGCAGCCTCTAAACGCTAGAGTTCACATATGGGGTGTCACCACTAACTAATCAGGAGGTCTTAGACACAGGTTCAAATGACTGGCTAGGGTCTTGGACATGGGGAAAAGGCCTTTTAGGTGGTGGAAGTATTCATAGCACAAGGTTCCACATTTCCAAACCCAAACAATCACAGTCAAACAAACCGATATTTCCTTTCTGCTATTCTGCATTACTCAATATCTCAAGAGCACAAGAGCGAAGGAGGTAAAAATGTCAGCATTTCCAAGGCAGACTGCTAAGAAACACTACTTACTGGGCATTATTCAGATTTTTGGTAGTGGCTCTCTTTTGCCTCCAAATTTTCTTTGTTTTTCTTTCATTTTCTTTTCATTTCTTAAGAGAGCCACCACTTCTGCATATATTTCAAACACATGCCCAGCCCAAATTTTAAGCACTACCTCCAACACTCACATCAAATTTAGCAGAAACAGCAGAGAATATGTAAAACCCACTCTGTGGAACCTTCTAAAAAATGCAAACAGGGTGATTTTTTCATTTCAGACCAAAAGAAGGGATAACACACGGCTCAAAAGGGCTGACTAGGGGATATGACACATCAGGACAGTCAAATTTGGTCGTGGGCTAATCCTATGCCCCCATCATCCTAGCTAGTGACAACGTGAATGCTACACATCATGGAAGAGGGATCTATCGCACAAGAAAGAAACGAGCAGGCTCAAATCTCACATGGCTACCTATATGCTCTATCTCACATTCTGATACCCTGAACTAGATGCATAAGAGACTGTCAAGAACAAGTAATCAATCCAAGTCACAGTTGGTAAGCAAACAGTTGAAAAACTGAACCCCTACACAACTCTACTGCACGTCTTAGTCCTCATCATAGGTTGTCCTAGTCACAATCAAGTTGTCATGCATCAATCCGAAAACCATTCAATTCATCAATCAAAACAGAGTGCCAATATGATCAAACAGCAGTACTTGGAGCCCTCAAATCATAAGATTCGGACAGTGGACTAGGCTCGAAGCACACAAACAGCCAAACATTCACCCGCATAAATAATCGAACACCCCCCACACTTAAGCACGACATTGTCCTCAATGGAGGAAAGATAAGGAGGGTAGAACGAAGTTACCAGATCAATGGTGAATGATGATGAACGGGTCAGGCGGTGCATTCCAGAAAGAGAGAGTAATCAAAACACAATCACCACACAAAATCTCACAAAGGTTGAGTTATTGACTCTAAAATCAAATAACAAAACTGACTCAAC